ATGGGGCGCAGTCGTATTGCCCCCGATCCGCCCAGAGTCCTAAAGTAGGACCCGCACCGCGTAGCCAGCACTGGCAACACCCACCTGCAGACGCACGACGACTCGACCATCCCGCCTTTCACAGCAAGCGAGCTCCACCAAGCAATTAAACAACTCAAGAACGACAGGTGCAGCGACCCCGCTGGGCTCACGGCAGAACTGCTCAATGCAGGAGGCGCCACCTTACAGTGCCACCTACTTCGACTGCACAACGACACCATCAAGCCTGATCGCCCCCCGCCAGACCAATGGGAAAACACCACCATCACTGTAATGCGCAAGTCTGGTGACCCCAAACTACCAGGCAATTACAAACCAATGGCCATCATCCCTCTGCTATATAAGCTGATGTCTCGCCTCCTTTGCAACCGGCTCGGCGCCTTGTTCGACTCGCAACAATGCCCGGACCAAGCAGGTTTCCGCAATAATTTTTGCACAGAGGACCATTTGTTCACCACAGCAATGCTTCATGAGAGCTCTTACGACTGGCAGCTGCCGCTTTGGGCTGTCGCAGTAGATTTCAAGAAAGCGTTCGATTGTGTTGACCACGACTGTATGTAGGACGCTCTACGAGAGCAACATATACCTCCCGCCTACATCACCTTCCTACGACACTTATATAGCACCCAAACTGGTACAGTTCGGACGGATACCAACAGCAGAGCCTTCAATATCGAACGGGGCGTTAAGCAGGGAGACCCGCTGAGCTCTTTCCTTTTCAACGCCGTCCTAGAGCACGTCTTCAGACAAGTGAAATCTGTTTGGGCACGGAACACAAATCTGGATCCAACTTGGCTTCTCAGCACAGGCGCGGATTACAAATCTGCGTTTCGCCGACGACGTGTTGTTGTACGCCACTAACCTCAGACAGCTCACCTGCTTACTTCGAGACGTACAAGCCCACGCAGCTAAATGCGGCCTGTTGCTACATCCGGAAAAGACAAAGATCCTGACAAACATTCGCCGGAGAGAGGGGCGAACAATCACCCATGTCGACATCGACGGCGACATCATCAGCATCCTACATTCCAGCCGCGGAACGAAATACTTGGGAAGATAATTCATTTTCACGACTTTCATGACACAGAGCTGCACAACAGGATTGCCGCAGGGTGGGCCCGTTTCAATCAGTTTCGTTACGAGTTGACCAACAAACGCTTCCCGCTTCATAGTAGACTGAGGCTGCTCAATGGCAATGTCACGCCATCCGTGTTGCACGGTTGCTTATCCTGGACTCTGACGAAGGATATGCTTCTTATTCTCAGGCGCGTTCAACGGAAAATGCTCAGGCTTCTCACGGGAGTACCGCGGAGACGCAGCGAGCAACGCCAGCACGCGCCCGACACCTCCGACGACGACCACCACCACAACATGACCGACGCCGACACAGCAAACAACCCGAACCACGCAACCAGCAACAGCGACGTGAGGAAGGATGACGGAAAGGAACCATGGGCCGACTACGTTCGACGAGCCACGCGCGAAGCCACGGTCCATGATTCCCGCGCCCAAGTGGAAGAATAGGTTGCTCTATATTTCAAACGGAAATGGAAATGGGCATCCCGTGTGGGAACCACGCGCACACGACCCTCGCCCAGCGCACCGGCGGCATGGAGGTCAACGAAAGCGATGGGCAGACGACATCATGAATTTCTTACGCACCAAGGGCGCGTGTGAAGACCGCGACGACCAGGAACACAACAACCAATGGTTATCAATTGCAACAGACCACCAATTATGGAGGGATCTAGAATATGATTTCATACATTACGCCTGCGCCCATTACAACCTATAGGATCTGGAATGCTTCCCCGACTCCAGCTTTACGTGTTCTTCCCACTCTGGTCTTCTCTCCGACTCCTGTTCACACCTCTCCTCTGTCCGACTCCAGCTCCGGCTCCGACTCCTGCCCCCGACACGTCCTCTGAGGGCTCCGGCCCACCCGCGCTGCTCCTAAGGGGCCCGCTGGCCGGCCGGCGGACACAGCGCGCCTCGCCTCGCCTCGCCTCTCCTAACAGTGGAACAGAGTCTGCGGCCCAGTGCCTGTCTCTTGCTCTTCTTCCCCCCGCCACCCGCCCCGGCAGCTGCCTCGGATGCCCTGGTTAGCCTGAGACACCTGTCGAACACGCGGGCTGCATGGTTCGGCAAGGACGACGTGAAGGCGGGCTCGGGGCTGGTGTGGGGAGCTCATCGTGCAGTGGTTTTCACGCTGTCCGCCTGACCTTGCGCCATCCTCTTTCGGCCCCCCTTCTGCTTCCTCCACTCCCCCTGCCTATCAACCTTCTTGTCCCTCCCCCTCCTCGTCTCCCCCTCCCCCTCCCTGTCTCCCTCCATCATTACACAATAATTATGAATACTACTCCTCTTTCCCCTGAGTCTGTCTAAAAGATGTTCGGCCCCTTTCCGCGTATTGTTTTTATTGCAGGATCGCTGGGCGTTGGGTTTTGATCAGTGTTATTGTCAATCAGATTTTTTCCGGTCCTTCACAATGTTACTCCCGCTGCAGCGCTGGCCCCATTTCTGCGCTTCTGGTCGTTCCAGACCGTGCTGCCGCTGCAGCGCGGGCGTTCCCCGTCCTTTCAAATAGGCCCACATGTAACACATACCACCCGAAAAAACATCAGAAGTGATTCCACATCTGGTGTCGATTCGTCGTCTGTTTGAGGGAGTATCAGGCGGGAACTCGTTTCTGCTTTGGGAAGGCGGTGTTGAAAGCAGAGCCAGCGGGTTCTCTCCATCGGCCCCGCCTCGTGGGGAGGTGTCTCTGGGGAGCCCAGGGAGCTGAACATAGATCCGCGATTTCAGACCCGCCCAGACCTGTCGAAGACGACCAGCTTACCCTTCAAGGAACCCAGTGCCATGCCATGATATGCAACGCGGTATTGTGTTCAGCGCCGCTGTGCGATGCCATGCTTTGCGTTGCAATGTTTTGTGATGCAATGCTTCACTACGCCATGCCACGCCATGCTATGACATGCTACGCTCTGAAGTACTCTTCTACGCCATGCTATGCCGTGCTGAACCATGCATCGTGTGCCCTCCCAGGAACATTGCCCTGCTCGACATTTGACTGTGCGAACCGAGAGGAGATCTTCGCCATGGGAAGGGACCGGAGGGAGGGGTGGGACGTCAGATATGACGCCAGCGCACCTAGGTTGGCCCTCCCCCCTCTGTCTTCCCCTCGCCCTCTCCCTCCCCATTCCCTGTCCCCCGTGTCCGTCTCCGTCCCCCTCCGCCTCCGCCGCCTTCTCACCCTCCTTTCCCCTTTCTCTCTCTCGCTCTCTCTTTCTCCCTGTCCCTGTCCTACTCCCTCTCTCTCTCTCGGTCTCTCTCTCTCTCTCTATCCCTCTCCCTCTCTCTTTCTCTGTGTTAGTACGTGTGCTTTCCTATTGTAGCTTCCTGTCGTTGTATGTCTCTGGTACGTTGCAAGCTCTCGTCCTGCTTTATCGTGTGACCTTCAACCCGTTCTACTTCCTTCCCCTCCAATCCGTCCCTCTCTCCCTCTGCCTCATATGGGTGGGGAGGCGTGCCCACCTTTGCGTCATCCTCTGTCGCTCCCAACATTGTCTCTTTCGCTCGGCCTCTTCAGGTTTCGGCGCCATTGTGAGGGGGATGAGGATCAGATGGAGCTGGTGGAGGATGAAGGGACGGAGGAGGAGGCCTGACAGCATCGGGGAGGGGCGAAACATAATGGAGGAGCACGGGAGGAACTTTGATATCGAATGGGGAAGGGAGGATGAGGAGGAACGTAGAGAGGACAATCGGGGAACGATCGATAAGGATGAGAAGGAAGAGGAGGGGGTGGTGGAGGAGGAGGAGGAGGATTAAGGGGAGGCACAAGAGAGAACGGTACGCCTTTTTTGATCTGCGATTCGTGGGGCGACGTAAGGAAGGCGAGTTGAACCAGCCAGCAATCGATCTTCGATCTTCGAGCCGATATCAACGCGGCTCCACCGAACCCGACACCAAGTCCTTGACTATCATGGTCTGCCAAGTCTTGGCAACACACTACGCTGCTGAACTGACGTCTGCGGCCGTCATTCCACAAACAAGCCATCATTTCTCTTTACCCAGCCCCGAATTCAGAGAAACCACCTATATGCCACCTGCAGGTCTGGACTCGACAACCAGGCCAGGCTGATGGCCAGATAAGTTAGGGTATGCCAGCCAGCTTACGCCATTGACACTGGGTGCCAACCGCTACACTGAACTCGAGGTGACACGAGGGATAACGGCAGAGTAGAAACGATACCAGGGCGTACACATCTCAGTGCGAAGCTTGTAAGGCATTGTCTGGACTGCCCCTCAGCGGACTTGTTGCTTGCTTGCTGGCCTGCTGTGCCCTACCAGTGCAGGATGAGCTGTAAATCTTCCTGTGTCCCCACCAACACCCATGACTCACGAACTCCCTGCCCCACCCGTGGCAGCTGCGCCTGTCTGGCGCTATGCGCACTGAGGGAGCAGGGGAAGGAGGGGGCGCATGCGCTGCTGATGAGTTGTGATCCAACCGCCTGCTTGTTCCCGCGCTTACCTTTTTCAAATTTGGGTGAGATGGAATAGTGTGGCGAAGCGCAAAGGCGCAGCAGTACTGAGTACCCAGGCTGGTGCTGTTCCGCTGTCCACCGAAATTACTTCATGAGTAGTTCCAAGCGGCGGTACGAGTCTCACTTACATGTAGAAGGAAGGCGAGACCTACGACCAACAGCTCAATAGTTGTAGGGTGAGGCTGCAGGAGCGTCCAGATTGTGGTTCTGTATTCTCTGGAGCCCCATTAAGATTTGCAAGAGAAGGCGGGTCCTGTGTCTGAGAAGATTGCAGAGCTTTTTCAGGGGGCATGTGCTCCTCTACCCGCTGACGTTGCTCGTGCTCCACCTCCTCCGCCTCAGCCGCCGCTGGCTTTGCTGCCTCACCCGCCTCTTCGTCCTCTTCCTCGTCCTTCTCGTCATCACCTACGTCGCCGT